TTTTCCACCAAAACCCTAATTCACCCAATCTCTTGATTTTATGTTTCCTCTTGATTTTCCTTGTTCCAAACACATGAAATCACTTGAAAGCAACTATCATGCCCTTAGTTGACCTTGAGATCTAAGATTTGGGCCCTTTTGAACCAAAGTTGACTTTTGTTGACCAGATGAAATCCCAAGACCAATCCCACTGATTGAGGCTCTTGTGATGGCTTATGATGGCACATAATCTATGTAGGGAACCCCTAAGGTGTGTGTTGTACTTGAGGATCATGTCTTGCCCAAAGAATTAACCACAACCCTCCTCTGAACCAAAACGCCAGCCAGCTATCCACGAGATAGGAGGAGGAGAACCAATGCTTGTGTTCTTGATCCAAGTGGTTGAGTGACATGTCTTGATGATGATAGGACCCTTATGACATGAAGTTGTCACAAAGTTGATCTTGAGCCCTTGATTGTTGGATAAGATACTTTGATCCCCTGTCTAAGATCAACGTTATGCATATGTCAATGCAAGAAGGTATGCAACATAAGCCAAGATACAAAGAAGAGATGGGCAAATTTTAGGGTGCTACAGTAGGTATGCAGAATCCAGACGGTAGGCACGTAGGGTTTAGTCTTGTCATGCAGCTCACCTTGTAGGCACGCAGGGTTTAGTCTTGTCATGCAGCTCACCTTGAAGATCTAATAATAAAAAGCAACATTTTATTGCTATTAATATAGTAGAGATAGCTGATTTATTATCATATCAATTAGTTAAACAATCCCTTCAAACACAAGTTTACTAAAATTTTAGCTATGGCTCAAACACTACAATACATGATTAGTGCATATTTAAACGGTGAGGTTTTTGAATGTAACTTAGCCGGTTTCAATTTTCGAAATACTGATGTTACTAGATTTTTGATTGACAGAAGGTTAGATTTTTTATTAACAGAATGTCAAATTTTTTACACTTGAAGTCGAGATTAGAAAAGAAATTACATGTGGTTCAATTGGCCAAATAATCTACAAAAATTATGTATTCTTTGGCATGCACGATCAATGCAAATTTTTCCCATTAAAGATTCGAGACGATGAAGATGTGTTTAGCATGTTCCGCAGTCATGAGTATTCCAGTCTCTCAGATATTGTGATATATGTTACGTTATAACAACAACAACTGTCTCAACAACTTGATTCTTCTCAAGCTTTTTACGAATCTAATGAGGAACACGCTGAAGTCGATGCCATTGATGATGAAGAAGAAGCAGCTAAATTCATTGTTGACGACATGGTAAACAACGAGGAAGAGGGGGTTCCATTCAATCATGTTTATTGCTCACCTCAATACATGACAACTCTCGACTTAGGTGACGATGGCCCTCAACAGATATTTTTTACAACCCTAACTACGCAACAGAAGGACTATTAAAAGAGGGCGACAACTTTTGTACAAAAGAAGATTATGTCCGAGCAATTAAACAATATCACATGGACTTATCAGCAGATTATAGAGTCGATCTAATAAATTCGAATTTGTATAAGATCTATTGTCATAACGAGTTGTGTCTGTTCTGATTAACAACTTCTTTCCAGAAGAGAAGTGATTCATGGAAGATAGGGTCAATGGGTCCAGTCCACACTTTTATAATCACGAATCCGATGTAGGACCATCGCAAGCTCTGCTCTCAATTGATTTACGATGAGATTCTATCAGTCATTAGCGACAACCCTTCTTTGAAGGAGAGTACCATAATTTCACATATGGTTCAAAGGTACAATTACACTCCTTCGTACCAAAAAGCATGGATAGCTAGGACTAAAGCGGTTGAAAGGGTGTTTAGAAATTGGGAGGAGTCTTACAAAGAACTTCCAAAATTCTTGGTGGCTCTTAAACAATATTCTCCAAGGACTGTTTCCATATTGGAGACAATGTCGGCGTATACACCAGACGGGACTTGCATTAGTGGAATGGAGTTTTTCACAGACTCTTATGGGCGTTTGAACCATGTATCAAAGGCTTTGATTATTGTAAACCTATAATTCAATTTGATGGCACATGGTTGTACGGGAAATATAAGGGCAGGCTACTCATGGTTGTGGCACATGACGAGAATAACAACATTTTTCCAATAGCCTTCGCTCTAGTTGAAGGGGTGACTGCTGGGGGTTGGAGTTTTTTCCTAAAAAATCTCCGCTTTTATGTTTCTCCCCAACCTAACTTATGTTTGATCTCTGATAGACACCCATCAATCGAGAGTGTATACAAGAACCTTGATAACGATTGGCAGGGTCCTCCCTCGACCCATGTGTATTACATAAGACATATCGCCTAAAATTTCATGCGGGAAATCAAAGACAAAACACTAATGAAGAAGGTTGTGAATGCGGTATATGCACTAACAGAGCCCACATTAAAACACTACCGTGAAGAGATCAGACTGACAAACACAAATGCAGTAAGATAGAATGATAATATTGATAAAGAGAAATGGACACGAGCGTACGACAATGAGGTGCGATGGGGCCACATGACAACTAACCTCGTTGAATCAATGAATCATATTTTCAAGGGAATATGAAACCTACCGATAACTGCCTTAGTAAAGGAAACATATTTTAGGCTCGGGCACTCTTTGATAACAGACGTACAAAGTGGGGTTCAATATTACAATCTGGTCACCTGTACAGTAATAGTTCAATAAAATTCATGAAAGACGAGGCTGCCAAAGCCAACACACATGTGGTCACAATCTTTGGCCGTAATAAAGGTTGGTTCAGTGTTGTCGAGTCAATTAATCACAATGAAGGAAGGCCTATGGGATGTTACCGAGTGGAACTGGATAGGAGTTGGTGTGACTGTGGAAAGTTTCAGGCATTTCGTATGCCTTGCTCTCATGTTATAGCAGCATGTTCGAAGGCGCGCCAGAACCCAACCTACTATCTTTCTGCTGTTCACCAAGTGATAAGTCTATGCAATGTCTACACATGTAGCTTTCAACTGGTGGCAAAAGTTGATATTGACCTCCATACGAAGGCGAAATTGTCTGACATAATGAATTGACGCGAAGAAAGAAAAAGGGTCACCCTAATAACATGCACATTCGGACGGAGATGGATGCAGCAAACAAAATGGTCAGATTATGTAGTTCGTATTGGCAACCAGGACACAATCGTACAAAATGTCCCAATGTAGGATCAAACACAAGATCATAGTTTCTAATGTAACCGTGTCCCTTTAAATCAACAGCAAATTTCATTCCAGCTAAAGCATAGTTAAGCGATTACAATTAACAAGCAACATAAATTAAACAAACATAACTTAATATCACAACAACATTCCGAAAATAACAACAAGAAACCCACATAAAATAAAACAATGCATCAAGTTGTCTAGGATATCACAACCATCAACATTATCTTCTTTGGTGTTAACATCATCACAAGGACACCAATATCATTTTCCACTTTTCTCCAATCATGAGAAACTCCGTTTCTCCCTGACTCCTCAACCAACCTCTCAATTTTCCTAATCTTTTCATCTGCAGCAATATCTCCTTCTAGCTAGCGGTTCAGTTCCCTATGCAAATGCTCCAAAGTCTGCGTGTTCCACAATAGCACCTTCATCGGATGCTTTGTTGTTGAAAAGTAAACTAGGGCCTTTCTTTTCGTTAGAGGAAATGTTGGAAACGGTTCCTCCGACGGTGACGACGACGACGATGAGCGTTGATTTAGAAATGCAGACATTCTAGACTGAATTCAAAATTATGAAGACTCGAGTCTATTGGTAAAAATTGTTGTGAAGAACTATATGAGTGTGAGTCTTATTTATAGAAAAATAAAATAGTACGGACCACATATGATATGCCTTAAATACCCTTATAAAATTTATTATTTTATAGAATTATATATTTTTTTTCAACACATATCAAATATCAAAAATTAACAATGTAGGGTTTAAACAAATATCAAAAATAAAAAATTTAAAAATATCAAAAATATCCAATATCATGAATTATATTTATTATGTTTTAAAAATATCAAATTTTAAAACAAATATAAAAAATTAAAAATTAAAAAAAAAATCCTACATGAGATGTGTTATCTCATATGGCAACTCAATGGAGAGCACCTGTGAACCCATGCACCATATGAAATGGCGAATCAGGTCTGAGAGAATTGAGTAGCCATTTCATATAGTGAATCTTCCTACAAAATGTCATTTTCATAATTTATTTAAATTATTATTTTATTTGATAATTAAATTGAAAAAACATGTTATATTAAAAAAAATCTCAATAATGAATGAGTTTAAAAGTTTATTAGGTTGGGTTAAATGTTTTTGGTGATCATTAATGTAATTTTTATTTTATAATTATTAATAATTAATCTTTTTTGAATTAAAATTAAACTAAAAGATAATAATGACATAAATTTATATATTAGTCAAAATAAGTGTTGCCAAGTCATCATCAGAAATAAGAGGACAAAAAATCTTAAAAACTGTGGAAAAAAAATTGAGTTTTAAAATAGAGATATTAACAAATTAAAATAAAGGATTAAAAATATATTTAAATTAATATTTATTTTATTTATTTATTAGACAATCTTATATTTTTACATTTATTGAACGAAAAGAGAAAGTTGCTTCTCCAAATACACGAGCCGAAACAAATGCCACGTCTTATTTAAACGGCAACCTCCATTCGCCGTTGTTCTTCGCCTTCTTATATAGGCCAAAAGCCAACCCCAGCTTCCACCTTTTATTATAATTCTAAATATTCAAACAAAACCATTCATATTTCTCCATCTTAATCTCTCAAATGCATGGAATCATCACATTCACCCTCACATAGCTTCATCATCACCGTGTATGTATACCTGCATTATTCTTATCATCATCATCATCATCATCATTATTCATTTCAACATTGAATAAATTTATCATTTCAATTTTCACGCGTCGATCGCAAATTCGCAATAGGTAATATTTCTGAATCGGATCGGTGTGTGAAACAATGAACTCGCCGTCATCATCGTCGTCGACGACGGGAGACTCCAGCAGGATAGCGACGAGGTCTTCCATTGTGGAGTCAATTAGGGGATGCGGCATGTCAAGTACGCGCGTCGACAAGGAGGAGCTTAGGCGGTGTCTCACAATGCCGCAGTACCTACGGTCCGCAATGCGGGACTCTATTCGGTTGCAGGATCCCAACGCTGGCGAGGGCGGTTGTATTCGTGAAGAAGGCGAAGAAAATGATGTTGCTCCTCTTACACCAATGGTTGTTTTCATTAACCCCCGCAGTGGTGGCCGCCATGGCTCTGACCTCATGGAACGGCTCCAGGATCTCATGAGTGACGAACAGGTTGCCTGTTAATTCTTCTTCTCTTATTTTCATCGTAATGAAATTAATATACTGTGAAATTATGTTTGTTGTGTTGAGTATGCAACTATTTCTAAGTTGAATCTCACATTAGAGGAGCTAAATTCAAAAAAATCACATTCATAGTTTGATTTGTTGACTATCATTTACTCCTCTCACGCGATAATTCTAGTTCTGCTTACTTTGATTGTTGGCTTGTTATTGATATTATTGTTTCTTTATTTTTTTGTTATATTTATGTGTATTTATGTTGTGATTGATTTGAAGTTGCTATGCAGGTTTTTGATTTATTAGATGTGAAGCCTAATGAGTTTATCCAGTATGGGTTAAGTTGCTTGGAGACATTAGCTAGTTCTGGTGATACTTGTGCCAAAGAAACACGTGAGAGAATAAGGATAATGGTATGTTCATCTGTTCATCATGTTAATGATAGGTGCACTAAAACATGTATTTTACTTCACATGAAAGTCATAGTATATATTGAGCAAAATACATATGAAGTTGTATCCCAAAGGATTATTTGTTTCCTGAAAAGATAGGGAGCATGTTTTTCTTTTAGAAACTAAGGAAGCTATATAAAATGAGGTAATACTAGGAGTATTCAAAGTCAATACAAGACACACTCACAAAGTGGGGAAGAGTTAGATACATAAGGAGATCATCCTTAGCAGAGATCCTTAACTCGGAGAGCTCAACCAAAACCTGACACTCCCAAGAAAAAAGAATATACCCACAAAAACTAAAATTATCTCAACTCTAATCTAACAATCCACATGATCTACAAACCATTTAAAAAAGAGACAAGGACTAGTTTTACATCTTCTACCAATAAAGATGTATGCTGATTACACAGTAATCTTAGTGTAGTCGCTGCGAACATGAAGGAGTTTTTTCTTTCTTCTTTTAAAAGTTTTGAAAATAGTTGATTGATTGACAATTGAGCTTGGAAAAATGCTTGATAGAGATAATGTAGATAGTGCTATTTTTGATAAATGATAGTTGGCTTTGTAGGTTGCGGGAGGTGATGGTTCAGTTGGCTGGGTATTAGGATGTCTCACTGAACTTAACACACAGGGCCGAGAACCAGTTCCTCCGGTAGGAATCATACCACTTGGTACAGGAAATGACCTGTCTAGGTGTTTTGGTTGGGTAAGAACTCACTACCTGGAAACTGTGTTAAATGAATGTTGTCTACTATGCTAATTTTTCTTGTTGATGTTTTATTATAAGGGTGGTTCATTTCCATTTGCATGGAAAGCAGCTATTAAGAGAACTCTTTACAAGGCTAGTATTGGTCCAATTTATCGTTTGGATAGGTATATATTATCGTATAATTTTGCATATTCAAGTGTGGTAGACCTTTGTGTCTCTCTGCAGTAGATTTTCAAAACATTATTATTAAAGTGCAATGTTTGTTTGAGAAGGACTATATATAGCTATGCGACTATTGTAAAAATATTTGTTGGCATGTATCCAATTTAAAATCATGTTTGACTTTATGATCTTTCATTCTGTTATAGATGCTGAACTAACCTGAGTATTAGGTTCCTGAATTTAATGGGATAAAACTAACATTCTTAATCACAATTTACTTCTTCAACATTTTGTTAAGGTCTCCTATCCTATAATTTGAATATTTTTTATTCTAGTATTGGAAGAATTGAATCGATCCTTTTTTTACTTTTACTGGTCAATATTTTAAAAATCTTATATTGTAAGCTAACTATTGTTTCTTCTTATTGGTGTATTGTGTTTTTTTATTGGTGTAAAAGAAGATTGTTAATATATCTCATAATTTTCCTATTTAGTAATGCAATACAACAAGATACACTTGAAAAATGCTCCACAGTTCAAATCTATAGCTTATCATTCTGATGGTATCAAATTAAAAATTGTTTCAAGAATTTTACTTCGGATTTATTAAAAAAGAAGATTTTTTTTCTTCAGATTTTGATATCTAATTTCTAGTTTAAATGTGTTCATTTTGTTTATGGATATATAAGGTCCCTAATTAAATGTGTTCAGTTTTCTGCATTAAATTTCCTATGGTAGTTACATGAAAAGCATAAGAAAATTAAATGAAATATCCATTTCTCATCTATGTTAAAACAGAAGACTTCTATAAATATATATATATATATATATATATATATATATATATATATATATATATATATATATATATATATATATATATATATATATATATATTTTCAGAGTACGTGCTTATATATTTTAACTGAGTGATGTTTGCTATAGTATATCTCTAATGATCTAACAACAAGTATAAATTTCAGTGCAACCCCTTCATAAATTTCCTGCTATTTGTTATAACTTTTGTAATTCCCACACAATTGAAACCACAACCATGATAGCATCTTCAATTCAAAATGATGGTTGTAATTAGTGCATCAATTCAATTTAACATTTGGGCTGCAATTGTTTAATGCAGTTGGCGAGTTTCACTTTCGATGCCCGAAGGCACAACTGTTGATCCACCTTATTCTCTAAAGCAGACAGAAGAGTTCTCTCTTGATGAGGTTACTGTCTAACTTCTTATGCCATGTATTATTTTCAGCCAGCAATACTACTAATTGGATAGGTTTCTTTGTAATTACTAAGGTCATAAAGGAAATCTTTCCACTGTGAATGGATTCTTCAAGCATTGGAAATGAAACACTCTTAATTTTGCTCAAAGAAACTTTCCACTTCTATGAGATTTTTTCATCAAAATAAGCATCTTTACCAATTACAATTTTTTCGTTGGTTGGATTGGATAACTTATAGATCTATAAAATTACATGGGCATATTTTTAAACCTGTCATCTAATTTGGTTCTCATCTTTTTAGAAAGACATTTTCCATTTTATCACTCTATAAGCTTTTTGAGGAGTCATCCTATGAACATCTCCAGTAGGCAATAAGTCGGACAAGGCCTGTTTGGATTGACTTATTTGAGCTTACCTACTTACATAAGTTTTGTGACATTGTTTGGAAACATTATCACAACAATTTACTACTTCTTTTATAAACTTTTTTGAACTTATTTTTATAATTTCTCCTAGATAGCTTATGCAAACAAACCCTTAACACTAGGGATAACTTCAGCCAACACTTATTGACGCACTTCTTGCAATAGTGAGTTTATATTTATTTTAATGTTTCGTAACTCAAGTTGGTTGTAGGGGTTGTAGAACTGTGAAGCTCGCAATATTTTCTTATGGGTAATGCTAACTTTTGTTCTTATGGCACATGTTAAAAAAACCCACAAATAGAAAGTTTGTGTTGAAAAAAAATGAATTATAATTTTTTAATAAAATCAATACACAATTTTTGAGAAAAATTTCTACATTCTTAAGTATAGGTGATTTAATTGCACATATTAGACACTTCAATTCTTAACTTCCTTTTACTAGTCGTCATATTACTTGTGTATTGTTTATGTCGAATGTTAGATTGTTTTTCGTATTAAAGTTATAGCTATTCAAACTTTCTTTATATATAATTTTTTAGAATTCTTTCAAATTACGAAGTTCCCTATGTTTGCAGGGCTTAGAAGTTGAAGGAGAACTGCCCGAGAAAGTTATATGTTATGAAGGCGTGTTCTACAATTACTTTAGCATAGGTGCTTTAACTTTTGCATTAGTAGTTTCATATATTGCAATTTCAGTTGGATCTTTACTAGACATGAGTATACTATGTGTCGATTATATAGAATAGGGTAGGGTGGAGTCTAGGCTAAATTATGCCATGTTTAGCCGTGATAGTCATGGCATGAGTGTTATTAGGATGGATGTTAACTGGCTGAGGGGATGGTGTAGCCGTGTAGGTGAAAGCTGATTGGAGCTAGGAGAATGAAGTGTTTGAGAGTTCTTAAGGAGTGGTTTCTGAAGTGGTAAAGTTGATATCTGAACATTGGGAGCAGGTGATATTGAAGTTGAGGTGTGGTTAGGACTGTGAGTGTGTGAAAGAGAACCTCTAAAATTCAATTGCACCAAAGCTCTGCAAAATGATATGTCAATAAGCTATTTCCATTGAAGATGATACGTAATTCCAATGGTAGTGTAGTGATCAAAATCACTCCTCCATGCAATGTGCGCTGACAAATCACATTAAATTTATCAAGGAGGGAATAGAAAAAGTAAAACAATCAAAGACAAAGTTAAATTGGAGGAGAAACCTTAGAATCAAGATCAGTGAATAAAAGGAAAAGGTAAAGAAACCAAAAACATATTTTGCATTGCGAGAGAAAGGTCATATAGAAGAGAGTAATAGCTATAAAAGAATTAATGGCGGAAGTTGAGAAAAGAAAATGGAAAAAGAGTGAAAAAGAAAAAAAGATGCAAACGAACAAGGTCCTCATGGAGGATTACACTACTCTGCACATGGTTAGAAAACATGTCGCAGAAGAGATGATGAAGAAAAAATCAGAAGAAAAGTAAAATTATTATTGATAAAATAAGGAATGTGATTATACATGAAGCCACTTATATGATTAATATAGAGAATTAGAAAGTAACTAACAACTAACAAACTATTAATTAATATCTATCTAATCACATATCTATATCTATCTAATCACATATCTAATAAATCTCACGATTGCTTTGTATGTAACTTAACCAAAATTTATTTTGACTTTGGAAATTAAAAAATGTTTTAGTGAACAAGGAATAGAAGTTGTGTATAAATAATTAAATTTGGGAATGCTTCCAAACAAACTCACGAATGCTTGACTTGGGTGTTAATTTTGTATGGAAATTTTGTGTGTGATATCTTTTCGAAAACATTAATTTGTATATGTGAGCATTTTTAGAGTTTAAAATATTTTCAGGTATGGATGCCCAAGTGGCTTATGGCTTTCATCACCTGCGTAACGAAAAACCTTACCTTGCCCAAGGACCAATAGCAAATAAGGTATTGATTGTTAAATGTTTGAGTTGTTCAATGCATTTTTTATATACTAAGTTCCTTATTTTGGTAAGAGATGAGAATAGAGAAACTTGTTACAGAATTAATATGCATGCACTAGATATCTTAGGCTCTTTGTTCTCAAATTGGCACTCTTATTCTTTTGCCTATTTGCAAATAATATAGTAGCATGGGTTGGGGTACTGTCTTTCTTTGCTCTTCATTAATATATTTTTGCTTATAAAACCAACTTAGGCTTTATTTTACATAGTTAATGTAATAATTATGGGATTAACAAGTATCCAATTTATTATACCAACATTAAGTTGGTCTGAGCACAAAACATATATAGTAAGTATTAAGTATTGTATTACTATAACAAGTATCCATGGTGAGTTCTTCTCCCCAACATGATTTCAGAGAAGAAAAATTAAAACCGTTGAATAATCAACACCAGAATAAAAAAAAACAACTCAACGATGGAGCAGAAAGGACACAAATTAGAAGCTTAAGGAAAACAGGGGCGAGGAAGAAGTGACCCAATAGTAGGCCTGTTCAATTTTTAGAAATCTGCACTGAACTTGGATCTTAACCAAACCGAACTTTAAAAAAATAAAAAAAAACTAATTGATAAAAAACTTAGATCATAAAATAAAATACCATAAACAAGAGTAAAACACTTTCCATAAGAAAAAATTTCAGGAGTCCTTAAATACAAAACTCTACTGTGATTTCTTCATAAGCGTCTAACCTTTGAGTGTGTGTAGAGCAATAAAAGGTAGGCGTAGAGAAGATGTGAGAAAAATTGACGCAAAGTTGTGCTGCTGCAAAGGAACTAAGTCCACCCTGACACATGAAATTGGAAGAATGGCGTTTGGGGTGAGTGATGAATTACACGAATATCAAATATTGAATACTATTTCCATAAAAACAACAAGGCATTGTGTAATTCAAATGAGAAGAGACTGTTGGTGAGGTTGTCAGCTAGAATATTTATATTTTAGCAATAGAATAGCAGTGGGTATATATTGAAAGGAAAATGAGATCTAAAAATGAAAGGAGATCTAAAACCAGAGCTAAAACATTGTTTAAATGGGAAAATCCATGTCATCAGTTAATCCACTAGACATGATGACATTAGTGTTTTAGAATCACAAAATCAATATTCCATTAATCATTTTATGTTCTAATTATGATAATGACAAATATTTTATTTATTTCCATTACCATGTTTGACTATCTTTTTTAGGAAATACTCACATTTGCTAGTTTTCTTAGTGCTTTATTCGCATTCAAACTTTTTTCATTTACGTTTTCAGTCAAAAACTACTATCTATTTGTGCCACATAATAATGATGTCATAAATATTACTTGAACAATAAAATATTTGTGATCAATTTGTCTTTCATTTTGGTGCAGCTTATATATTCTGGTTATACTTGCACTCAGGGTTGGTTCTTCACTCCCTGCACAAGTGACCCAGGTTTTAGGTATGAAATATCTCAACTAAAGCAATTCATCTTTAAGATGAATTAGTAAAAGAAAAATTTATTATATGTTATATTGCCTTTTGATTTTATATAAAGTCATGACTCTTCTTTGTATTTAGTATGAGAAGTCTGTTCATAACGTTACTTGGTGATATAAAATTAAGGTTAAAATCTTGGAGATATTTTTTGTGTTTTCCTTTCCTCTTTTTATTCTTGTTTTTTCTTATTGAAAGCACCAATGAGGGTTTATGTTTTGTTTGGCTATTCTTATCAAAACATTCTTAGTATATATTGCATTTCCCACTGAAGTCTTTGACCTGCTTGGTGTTATATGATATGTCACAAATAATCTCCTCTAGAAAACCTTTTACTAAACGGGATGATTCTTCTGTTTTCAGTAGTAAGTTACATGGTTACTAGCCTCTGATAATTAATCTAATGATCAAATTGGGAAAAAATTATGGTATTAGGGGACTTAAGAACATTATGCGGATGCATGTCAAAAAGATCAATAGCTCTGAATGGGAGCTGGTTCCAGTTCCTACAAGGTATATTTCTTATCATATACTTTTTAACAGTGTGTATTAAGAATTGGTCTTAGGAGATGTGTTTACCATAATTAATGTTTTTGTGTTTCTTCCGCATTCAAAATTTGTGTTTACAAGTGCCGTAACAGTCCTTCTTTTGCTTTCTGGCTTGTTATTTTTCCCACATTTTAAATGAGGTTGTCAATTGCTTTCAGTGTAAGGGCAGTAGTTGCTCTGAATCTTCATAGTTATGGAAGTGGGAGAAACCCATGGGGTACTCTGAAACCTGAATATTTGGAAAAGGTATGGGACTCTTGCTTCCTTTAGTACCAATCAATATGTATTATCGATAGATGAATATTTCTTGGTAAATACCAACTTAAGCTACTAGATGAGTTTATTTCTTCTTTGTTTAAAAACTCAAGTATTTTTACAAATAAACCCTTTTTAATTAATTTTAGAGAGGCTTTGTTGAAGCTCGAGTTGACGATGGACTTTTGGAAATATTTGGTCTAAAGCAAGGATGGCATGCATCATTTGTGATGGTTGAACTGATCTCTGCAAAGCACATAGCTCAGGTAACCAACCACATGTTAAATCCGACAGTACTGTTTTATTCTTTTTTATTTGTGCTGAATTTCTATCTTCTCAAATCAATTGTCGAATTAATGAGCTTAGTATTCCCTTAATGCATAGTTTATGAACAGATTCTACAAATTTGAGAATTTTTTTTCACATTTTGTTACCAAAATTAATATTACCGAATCAATTACAATTAGATTAGATATATCAGACAATAATCTGAATTTGAAAATGCAGCTTTCGAGATGCATTGCTGTTGATCACTCCTAGATTCTAGTAGTGTCGACTTACAAACTCTATAAATGAACTGTTTTTCAGGCAACAGCTATCCGGTTGGAAGTAAGAGGAGGGGAGTGGAAAGATGCATATATGCAAATGGATGGTGAACCGTGGAAACAACCATTGAGCAAAGACTTTTCGACATTCGTGGAAATAAGGAGGGAACCATTCCAGTCACTTGTGATTAGTGGAGAATGAATCATTTTTCACAGGTTCATTGTTCTATGGATGGAATTCATAATGTGCATACCAGATCTATTGTAAATTATACAGGTTCTGTTAATAGAAGAAAAAATATATTATTTTCAAACATCATCCCAATTGTATATCCTGAAATTTTAACGTCTTTACGGATTTGGGAAACGGAGGGAATGGGAGGGATATGAAACTTAAATTTGATAAATAAATTAAAGTAGATTTATATAATTAAGTTTACTGCCAAACTGATACTCATCTATTTCAAACTTTTTATTTATTTATTTTTATTTACTTAATTTTTTTATTTACTATAATCAAACTAATTTAAATTTTACAATCCTCGGTGAATTTATTTTAGCCAATGAGTCTATACAACACAAATTTTTTAAAAGTGATATCCTTGTGTGTTTTAAACAATTTTTCCTAGGCAATACTAAGATCTAACACTTACAAAGATTGAAAACTTTCTAAAAAATTGAACACCACAATCTTTTTTGAAGAAAAAAAATATTAATGGATCTAGACTAAGCACAAGATGTGCAAAGAAAAGATCAAAATCCAGTACAACAATTAACCTCATGTATGAGAGACGAAATTCGAGACCAAGAACAACCAAGATGCCTTAATTTTTTAGAAAGAAAACACAATTTTTGTTTTCATCTTTTTAAAGGTTCTTCCAAATTCTTGGTGAAAAGTTTAAAAAAAAAATTTAATTTTCGAAGATGCATCTTTGAACGCACTGTTTTTTTTACTTTTTCAAAATTCAATTCGGAGATGCATCTTCATAATTGTTTTAGGATTTTTTTTACAGATGCATCTCCGAAACAATCCTTAATTTTAAATCCTAGGGGATATTTGAAGATGTACAGGCGAACGTGTTTAATGTATATAGAAGGCGCCAAACCCTTCTTCTTTTCCTTCATTTTCTAAAACTTTTTCATCCTCAACTTCAAGCCATATTGGAGCTCGTAGCAATATACTTCCGGACCATTTTTCAAACTTCTTCAAGGATATGCACTACCTCTACTTCAAGCATTCCAATCTCAATTAACTCCACTTATTCATCCTCAGCACTTTTTTAAGTTTCTCATTTAACATATTTTGATTTTTTATTAATGTATTAGATAAAATAGTTTGTTATAAATGTATTAGATAGTAGTCAAATTTGTAATAGATAGTTATTAGAGATATGCACTATGATTCGATTGCATTTTGAGTTGTTAGGGAAAGACCGGTATCCGTTTCTATCATTGATACAAACACGAGTTTTTTCGGAGATCCATCTCCGAATTCTGGTTTACTGGTTTTCAGAGATGCATATCTGAAATTGTGTTGGATGCAAATTGATGTCTTTTTCTTGTATTGTTTCAGAAAAAAATGGTTGCAAACAATGACGACAAACTGAGACCCGCCCGTGAAACCCAACACGCGTCTGTTTGATATGAGAGGGACAAGCTTCAGAATGAACAAACCAAAGTTAGGCAGGGAACCGTCTCTAGACCTCATGAGGGGGAAACATCGACTTCTAGGAGCCACTTATCACAGGGGCCCTCATCCTAGGGACACGTCTCCCTTGATCATGTAGACCGAGAGGAAGCTCCTGTTGCTGCACATGATGGTGTTCCTCCACTTGCATACCCTTTTCTAAGAGGGCCCTTTGGAAGCTCCTTACTGATATACTATAGAGATCATGTTGCTAGAAATGTATGGGATGTAGAGGTATTTTTGTTAACAATTTTTATTTGTATGTTTTAATCACTTGTCCCGCGACTGATATTTTGTTCTTTTAACAGGAACACGGTTGTTTAAAGTCTGTTAACCATAACAGAAAGATTCTGAATGTTTATTAGCCTAAGGATCATTGGTTCCAGAGTATCCTCTAGTACTCAATCTTGTAGGTCTGTGTTGTTCCGAGTACAAGACCATTATCCATGAGATGCAATGGGCTTTTGCTGAGAGATGGCATAAGGAAACATCATCTTTCCACTTCCCCATTGGCAATATGACGATCACCCTGGATGACGTTACTTGCCTTCTACACTTCCCCATTAGCATGACATGTGGGAAAAATATGATGTGCAGGTATCTGCCAGAGCGATGACATGTGTTAGTTTGGATATGTGTATATCATTTTGAGATCCCCCTTCGTGTGTGCTCCTAACAACATTATCTACAAACATCTTGATGACATATTGACATATTGCGAGAGTCATCCGATACTAAAGGAGTATCAAACTACGTCACCCATAAGTCAGTGGCATTATGTGGACGGTTACATGACTTGGTTCTATGTTGTGTCACACCTTGTCATGACACAAGAAGCTCCTAGACGTACACCTAGGTCTTCTCATGAGGAGATTCTGGAGACTGAGAAGACCACAAATGACCATGCCAGTGATTCATTGTCGATCTGTCAGAATATTATGCGGATTACACATGAGGGTATATAGTCAGGGCTATTTGAGAGAGGTGGTGATGATGTGGTTTCTCTAGCATGTTCAATTCTTATCGAGGCATGGAATGCCTTGGGTTACTGGTGGAGAGGAGGAGTCAGGGGGTTAGGATTATACATATGCAGTATATTATGCTTTTCTTTGTATTTTAGGATGTTTTAGTATTTCTTTTTCATACTTTGAGAATAATGTTTATAATATGATTGGATGTTTTTTTAATTAAGCATTACCTTGTTTTATGATATTCGTGTTTGTTAATATTTGAATCAAATAATGACAATATCAGTTGAATTAAAATTACTATGGATTAAAAAAAATACAAACTTAGGACAATATTTATGCTCAAGAAACATGCAGAGAAGATTTCTGAGATACATCTTCAAATGTACCCTAGAAGTATTTGTAGATGCATCTCCAGACTTTTTTAAAAAACATGGGGGTGGCTGCTTGATTTACGAAGAAAGAAATGTGTTTTCGGAGATGCATCTTCGAATTTATCTCAGAAATATTCGCAGATGTGTCTCCAGACCAATTTTTAGCAAAAATGGAGTGATAGCTTGATTTACGAAGGATGAGGATATTTAAGGTGCATTCGAAGATGCATCTTCGAATATTTTTGAGAGAATTTTAGGTTTTTAGAGGTGTGAACCACACCATAAGGGTGGAAAAAGAAATTGTTGAGAGAAAAACAACAATATACCCTTGCTCATAACAACTGACCCAAAAATGTTATTATCCTACAATAATATATAAATCAACACAACACCCCATAACAAACAGGATTAGACACATGTTGCTACTTAAAAGCAAAACGCTTGTTGAGTCAACATAACAGAATTGATATTGTTTTTTTTTGTTTGGAAATCTTGGTATCCGGCCTTGTGACCGACTAATCCAAGAGAGACTAATCCAACCGTCCACTAGCGGGGACCCCGTTTAAAGCCAGAGTAAAGCTCAGTATAGACTGGCCTCACAAGGATTGATTGCACCTAGTAGGATTCAAACTTGAGACCTTGAGAGGAACACACTCTTAAGACTCAAGCCTCCACCACTTGGCCAACCCTTAGGGGTTAATAGAATTGATATTGTTATCATAAACCACGCCAACTCTGATGCAAATCCCAGCAGGATAAAAATCGGTTCTACAACTTGAAACAACTACTTGGCCAATATGACACCAACACTCGAAATAATAGGTCTTTCTACTGCAACTATTTCCGATATGAACCCGAAACAACAAGACACTACAATACTTAATAGAGTCAGACCCACAACTAAGCTCAATCACTACATTAAAACTCTTCATATGCTGCACAAATTTGCGCAATCAACCTTTGCAACAAATCCTATTTCAAATCAAATCCTCATGCAGACTCCAATCCCAATAATAGAGAATTAATATTGGATTCAAGTGATAAACACAATTAAAATTGTATGGTCATAAAAATTGCTAGACAATTCACTTTGAAATTTCTCAAGAAGATTATGATCATAAAAAGGGGGTTTGTTTAATACAATCCATGATTTAATCTCACATTTTGGTGAAATTACAAAAATAACCCTCAAATATGGATTCTAAAACTCAGGCGCATTTCATACACAACAAACCCTCAATGAAAATCGATATAGCTAAAGTTTTAAAAAAAAAACTTTTGACTTTGGAATTCACATAGTAAGTTACTAAGGTTGAACTTCGTACGCACCTAGTAATATGAATTTCAAACTCTGGATTTTCTAGGGAGATTCAAATTTGGACATTTTTGTTTAAGTATTTGCTCTTTTTCCTCTCCCTTTTCATTTCCATTTCCCTAAACAGAGAAAACCAAAGAGCTTCTCCTCATTTTCATTCTCAGAGCTTGTTCCATCATTTTTTAAGCATTCTTTTTTTATTTTACATTAATGCATGACCTAAATAAATTTATGTGTGTGTGTGTGTGTCATTTTTTAAACTGCTTTGCTTTGAAATGTTGCGCATTAGATCTTAGGGCTTATGCATGCTCTATTTCTACTTTGTGTTTCTGGTTCAATGCAATATGGATTTTGAAATATGGACCATCCTCACCTGGACTCCATTCCCAATCACCTAACAAAGAATTAATCTGGGATTCATGTACCATTATAATAAACACAATCAAAACTATACGATCATAACAATTTCTTGATGGTTCACGATGAACTTTCTCAAGGAGATTATGATCATAAAAAGGGGACTGTTTAATACACTCCATGATTAACTAACATTCTGGTGAAATTTCAAAAATAACTCTCAAATATGAATTCTAAAATTCAGACACACTTAATATACAATAAACCTTCAATGGGACACACTAAAGCTAGAGTTAAAAAAAACTCTTGGCTTTGGAATCCGTATAGTAAGTTACAAAGGTTGAACTCTAGACGCACCTAAGACATCACACCTAAGCCCAAAATTAGAACTACACAATTTTAAAATAATCTGAATTCCAATCTCCTAATTTTCTATTGAGATTGGAATTCAGACACTCCTGTTTAATTATTTGTGTTTTTCCCTCTCCCTTTTCATTTTCA